AGTGAAAAATGATATCTTAGCAATACTGAGTCTTCCAACTCATGAACAATGTATATCTCTAATTATTTGTGTCTTTGTTAATTTACCTCATGATATTATGTGGTTTTCATTATCCAGGCTTTTTTTCTTCTGCCAGATTCATCCCTAGATAATTTATATTTTTCTATACTGTTATAAATGGTATTATTATTTTAATTAAATTTCTGATTGTTTGTTGCTAGTATGTGGACTTGTAGCTGATTTTTGTATACTGATCTTGTGTCCTAAAATATTGCTAAATTCATTTATTAATTCTAGAAGAGTTTTTGTAGATCTATTGTATTTTTGATATAAACTGTATGAAATTAAGCTTGGCCTAAAGGTTTCTTCAGATACAGTGAACTATAATCTAACTTGATGTGCAAGCAGACTGTAGTTTTGTAAGAAGTAGCCTAGTCTCAGCCAATTACAGGCAGCCAACTGTTCTGTACCTCACTTTCATTTTCTGTATGTACTTCTCTTTTTCTCTCTACAAATCTTAACTGACCATGTTGCAGTGGTGGAATTGCTCTGAATCTGTTCTGATTCTGTGGACTGTCTTGTTCTTTGCTCAAATTAAACTCTGTTATATTTAATTTGTCTAAAGTTTTTATTTTAACAACCTATAGACCTGCAGTCAGCGAAGGATGGCCCATAGGCCAAATCTGGCCTGTGGTCTGGTTTTGTGCAGTCTTTAGGCTAAGAATTGTTTCTGGTTTTTTTTTGTTTGTTTGTTTGTTTGTTTTTTGCTTTTTTAAAAATATTTTTAAGTGGTTATTTAAAATAAAACGGAAGATGAATATATAACAAAGACAGTATGTGTCAAAGCCTAACATATTTATTATCTTGCACTTTATAAAAAAGATTTTTACTATTAGATATAATGTTAGCTTTAAGTTTTTCATAGATGCCCTTTATTAAGTTTAAGGCATTCTATTTTTTGTTTGCTGAGAGCTGTTATCAGGAATGAATGTTTGGGTTTTTCTGAATCTATTGAGATGATCATGTGATTCTTATTTTCAGGTTGATTAATATGGTGAATTATCTTAATTGATTTTAGAGTGTTAAATCAGCCCTGCATTCCTGGAATAAACCCCATTTGGACAAAGTGTATTATGCTCTTAATACATTGTTGGGTTCAATTACCAAATTTTGTTTAAAATTTTTGTACCTACGTTCATGATGGATCTTGCTCTATAGTTTTCTCTTTACTTTATTTCTTCAATAATTTATGTCTTTTGAAGAATTTTTCCATTTTATTCAAGTTATAAAATTTGT